GGCTTGCGGCCACATTATGCATGCAGCATGATAGCAGGTTATATGTGTATGTAAGCTTGGGTCAGAGGGCTACATCTTGCGACCGGTCAGGGCGGCACAGCCGTTATGATCCAGGCCACAGCTCTATGGTGCACCGCAGGCTGTCTGCCTGCCTAAACACACATGCGCACACTCACACAAACCACAGACCCACGGCAATGGATTCTTGCCCAGCCACACTGCCTTAAAGCTGCCACACCCCTGACTGCCTTACACACACATATTCAGTGTAGCCACAGTCATTTGACTTCCTACACCCACACTGACATACACACATATGAGCACCCACTCACTCTTCACACACACAAATGTGTCTCTCTCGTTTCTACATGTGTCAGTCTTTTTGACACCAGGTCTGTGGGTGCAGGTTCTGGAGGAGGCCGCAAACTTTACATACACACTGTGGGCTCATCTGGTTTTATGTAAACAAACACGCACTAAGTGTGTTTAAATGCACTTTAGTTGGACTAAAGCAATTTATCACTTTGGACCTGTGGTCTCCCTATCAGTGTTGTTTTTGTTAACTAAAACTGAAATGAAAATAAAACCATTCAAAATAAATTTTATTAATTGAAATAAAGCTGAAATAACATAAAATATTAATACTAGAAGAAAAACTTAAATGAAAATGAGAAATATCACCAACTAACTGAAATAAGTTAAAGTACTAATATTACTAAAACTAAAACTGAAATAAAAAATAAAATAATAAATCTATAGAAAAATACTAAACAAATAATTAATAATAACTAGCACATAACAAAATTAGAATTAAAATAAAAACTGCAAACCTAAAAATAAAAGTTAATTCAAAATATTAATATTATAGTCGTATATTATAATTATAATCATTCATTCATTCAGAAATAATACATTTTTGTTACATGGCAAATTGCTGTAGTGCTGAATGCTGGTGAAACTGTTGTTCTTTTTGCATCTCAATTGTACATATTGAACTTGCTCATGGAGTCTGTTTATTTTCTGTTTCTCTCTCCGTCTCTGGACTCTGCAGACACTGATGAATGTGTGGATGAATCAAACTGTATAGATGGTAAATGTATGAACACGTATGGGTCATATCAGTGTTTCTGCATTCCGCCCCTGGTTCTTGCACCGGACAGCGCTCGCTGCATTTTACCCGCCGTGCCAGGTAAAGCCTTACATCAACTGTAACAAAGTACTATGCACCTGAAAACCCTACAACACACTGCAAAATCCCTATTCTCTAAAGCCCTTCACTCCAAAAACCCTCACCTAAAGCCACTAAAATCACACTTTAAAACTCACACCCTAAACTTTAAATCCCACCTTCTAAATCAGTGTTTCCCAATCCTGGAGGCTCTCAGAGCTGCACATTTTGGATGTCTCCTTCTTACTCATCTCCTAAGATCATTAGTGAAGTTCTCCATGACCTGAATACAGTGCGTCAGATTAGTGAGACACCTAAAATCTGCATTGGTGGGGTTCCACAAGGAGCTGGATTGAGACACAATGCTCTAAATCCTTTCATCTAAACCCTCAATTCTTTCAAACCTATATTCTCTCCTCTGAAACCCTACCTTTTACATTTTAAACACAACAGACTAAATGTTACACCCCTTAATGTGCTATAATATACCTCAGCTGTTTCGGAGATCATTATTTGATCATCTCTGAACTATATTGCTTGTCTTGAGCTCAAAGCTATTCCAAATAGTGTCATACTGCCATCTAGAGGATGGTCAGAATAAGACATTAATTTTTTTAATTGATTTTTCACATACATTGCATTGTTTTGTGTTCTAAGGTTGAAGGAAATGTCTGTAAACTTCTGCAAGGACATGTTTTTCTGCACATTTTAAGCATATTTCAGTATTCTGTAAGTTTCATTTGGTTGACACTTATTCATTACAACTTAAAATGCTATTTACTGTGTTTGTGTATTTACAGGGCAAAGAGAAACTGATGTGTACCCAGGTATTTGCTGGGAGACCGTAAAGGAAAGGCTGACCTGCACAAATCCCATTGCCAATATACAGACCACGTTCACAGAATGCTGCTGTTTATACGGAGATGCCTGGGGCATGGATTGTGCTCTCTGCCCGCATAAAAATACAGGTATAACTACACAGCAAAACACAGAGAAAAATCTGGAGCGGCTTTGTTTTTTTTGTAAATATGATACCTCAAGACGTGTGCTCTTTCTTAAAATTATTGCAGACACAAAGAGCCTGCAAACACAAAAAGCAAAGAAAGCAAATCAAAACAAAACTCTTTTTTTATTCTCATCCAGAGGCTTATGCCACTATGTGTAATATCCGTCAGTTTGGTGGTCCCCGTCGGCCATATGGTCAGGATGCTTTGGTCGCTGGCCCAGTCACTGAATACGGCCCTGAATATGACTCTCGACCTCTGAACCCCGACGGCACGCTGCCCCTCTATGAAGATTACGAAGAACCAAGAAGTGAGTACAAATATACTCCTTAAAGAAATAGTTGAAATTATTATTTATTGATTGATTGTCAGTATTTACTCATATTCATGTTTTCTAAACCTCTCTCTCTCAGATCCATATGATGCATTTGAAGGACTGCGAGCAGAGGAATGCGGTGTTCTGAACGGATGTGAGAATGGACGGTGTGTGCGGGTGCAGGAGGGATACACCTGTGACTGCTTCGATGGATACACACTCGACATGTCCCGCATGGCCTGCGTGGGTGAGCAACAGCAGAGTGTCACATAATGAGGGGATCAGCATGTGGGTGGGATTAGCTCAGGTTGACATTTCAGTTTGTTTTTTATTAATATCATCAGTATGTAGTTATTTTATATGTGATTGGATCTATTTTGTGTTATTAGAGCTGAAACCTCTGAAGGTTGGAAGTGATTCAAAACCTTGTCTGTAATATAACTTTAAAATTCTCATTACTAGCGAATGGGTGTGTTTTTCTTACATTGTCACGGATTGTGATTATCATGACTAATCTCCTGAAATGAGGCATGACTGAGCAGATGATATACGCCCAGGCACAGAGTGGCTATTAGGGTTGGGAACGAGAAGTGGTTCTTATTCAGAACCAGTATAAATTTTTCTTTGGAAATAATAGAATGACATTCGATTGCGGTAATGGTTCTTGCATATGTATTTTTCCTCCAACATACCATACTAAAATACTTTGACAGAGTTCCTTGCGGTACTTATTCAGTGACACTGCAGCACTGTTACAGAATCTACAGCGCAAAGCACACACTGAGACCAGTGATTAGTCAGTTAATTTAGTAAATCAAAAACAAACCTAGCAATCAGCATAGTCCAATTCACAAACAAATGACATACTGCGCAGCCTGAGTATTCCAATTCCCAAACCAATGACTATTATGAGTCATGTTTTTTTTATTGTGTGTGTGAATCAAAAACAAAGCTAGTGTAGTCCTATTTGCAAATATATGACTCTATGAATTGCAACCTGTGTAGTCCAATGCTCAAACTAATGACTCTTTTGGATGGTTCTTTAAGTTTTTAGTGAATCAAAAACATTCTGTGAAACCATTTTTCTAAACCATAAGAGTCGGCTATTTTTAGTGAATTAAAAACATACCGTCCAACCAGAGCATTGTAATTCCTGAATTGACTCAGCTCTTTTAAGTGAATACAAAACATATATAGTCCGGTTCTCGTATTAATGACTCTTTTAAAAATGCTCTTTTTAGTCAATCGAAAACATAACACACAACCAGTGTTGTGCGGTTTCCAGGTGAATGTCTCTTATGAATCTTTTTTTATTTTAGTGAATCAAAATCATACAACCAGTGTAGTCTGATTCCCAAATGAATGACTCATATACATTTTATTTAGTGAAACAAAAACTACGAGGCTTAGATCAGTGTATTGTCATTTCTAACTGGTTTATATAACAATCTGTAGTTAAAGAGTTTGTCAGTAGCATTTTATAAAAATGAATGAATTAGCACATTTTAGTTTTAGTGTTGTTTGATTCTAATTATTGGATTGCACTTATGACTAGAAAGATGCAAAGTTATTAAAAAGAGTGCACATTTTGCTTTAGCAAAGAAATTACTTTTTTTTTTTTTTTTTACCAAATATTTATTACCCTATCTTCTAAAAGAATCATTATTCAAGTGGTTAAAGGGATAGTTCACCCAAAAATGAAAATTTGATGTTT